AGCAAATACGCATTTACATCATTTAAACAAATCTTTGAATGACTAATGAACATTTAATTTCACAAACTTAGTCGAATCCAGCGGTGAGATCTTGTGAAGTGTGCATTTTTATCCAGCATGATCGCGTGTTCTCTGTGTGACGGTCGGTCCGTGTGAAATGAATGCTTTAAACTTGTGATTTCAAATTATGCTGCGCTTTATCCATTTACCCACTGTCATATTCATGTCATTTTCTCTGTGTGCTGTATGTAAAATGAGTGTTACCCTGGCTTTATTTAAAAAATATGATTCCCAATGCACACAAACTTCCCAGAATACTGAAAGCCCTGTTGGTTACAGTGTTTACTTCCTTTTTAATTATATTTTTATTAAATATTTATTTATTTGTGAAAAATACTTTGTCATCTAAAGTATAATTATGTTTATTTTACAAATTTATTTTTTAATCCATTGTCAAATTATTTCAAATTTCTTAAATATTAAACTAAAACCAAATTATATCGGCTTTATATTGGCCCCCTTGCTTTCCAAGATATCGGCATCGGCTGTCAAAAAACCAATATCGGTCGACCACTATTTATAAGGCCTATTGTAGTTAAGGCTGGGTGTTGCATTTGCTGGTGATGTCAGTCTCTATTCTGACGTCCGAATGAATGACTCACTCTGTCCTAGAGACGGGCTGTGAGCATGACCACACAAGATCTCACCAGTGCTAATCTACAAACACAGAATCTCTAACAGGAAAAACAACTTTAATGTCATTACAACCCGTTTAATTCGAATGTTGTTTCCTGGAAAACCAATCTAATGAGAGCGCCGGCGCTGGTGCTTTAAAAATTAAGCATCTCATTTCATCGCTACTAGCATCACTAAGCATAAATTACATTATGATTATAATTTCTAAATGCATGTTATTGTGAACAATTCATTCATATGATTCATTCATATTCATGTTTTAACTAGTAATTTCAACATAACCCAATCTTTAGGTTAAACAACAGGTGACATATGTCTTGACTTCTCCAAACATTCAGTTTGCTTAAACAGCACCCCTTTTTTTTATGATCGCCTGCAAGCTCGCATTGATACAAGCAACATTCAATGAATAAAAAAAAGTCCCTGTCCTATATTTTTTTCTTTTCCGATAATCCATTTAACTGGGATGTATGAAGAAAAGAATGTAGCTACTTTTGCTTCATCGCAACTTTAATTAGAATAATGATCGTTTCCAAACAGGTTTCCTAACCTCTCTCCCCGTCTGCCATTGGTTGAACAAATACACAGCCCCACCCCAAACCCACACCATTGGTTGAGTCAGTGTTGCTGTTGTCGGGCTCATCAGGAAGCTCCACAGACTAATGTTTTGCACAACATTGTTTACGCATTTTGAGGGAAATCAACCTTCAAACGGCTTACTTACAGTTGTGCAGAATTTATTACTAATTTATATTATATAAACTATAAAAAAGTAAAAACCTACAAATTGTTTTATAATTAAAACACATTAACAAATTAAATTAAAACAGTTTAAACAATTAAAACTAATTAAAATCTGTTTAACTGGGATGTACATAATACAGAAGAAAAGATCCATCACTACTTACGTTTCATCACGACTTTAATTAAAATAATTATTGTTTCTTAAATACTCTCCCTGTCCACCATTGCGTGAAAGAATACATAGCCCCGCCCCAATCTCACGCCATTGGTTGAGTCAGTGTCGCTGTCAGGCTGGTCAGGAACCTCAAACAGAGCAATGATTTGCTCCACAGTGTTTACATGTTTTGGAGAAATCAACCTACTAACAGCTTACTTATAGTTGTGTGCATTGTAAGCATGCTAACACCAAAAAAAACTACACAAAAACCTTTAAACAGGAGCGTTTCAACTCCTTTCTTCATGCAACTACATGCAGCTCTGGGAGAAAGCCATGCAAATGTTGACTACAAACTACAGAGAACATTTCACTGTACACTATGTTGGCTCTGCCACACCCTTTGCCTTTAGAAAGCTTTAGAATTGATCAACAAAAGCAGCAAGCTCAGTGGATCAATGCTGGAAAGCCTAGACAATGTGTGATGGGGCTAATGGCAGGATAAAGTTACAGGCCTCTCTGCAGTCATGACTGAAAACAGGCCACTTAAAGGCTACAGAGACAAAACTGAAGCTATCATATGGATTAACAGAACATTTTTGTCCCCATAAGATTCCATAATTTTTTTTTTTTAAATGTACAGTAGAACACAGGAATTTATTACTCATTTATAAGCACTATAAAAATAATGTAGCAAATTGTTGTAGAAATATATATTTAATAAAATATATAAAATGTTATACAACATATATTAATATAAAATTACATCTGTGAGATACTGTATAGTCACTGTGAAATATAAAGTAACAATTGTGGGATATAAAATCACACTGAGATATAAAGTTACATTATGAGAAATTACAATTGTGGTATATAGTCACATTATGAAATATGAAACAATATTGAGATATAAAATCACATTGTGAGATATAGTCTCTTTGTGAGCAGCAGCAGTTCTGCAAGTTTCACCACCTCATGCCCATTAGATTTATTTTTATTTTTTAACAACAATCAAGTTGTAATATTCTAAATTAAAATGCTCAGTGTGGTAAGCCAGAAATCATCTTATATGTTGCATGGAGCTGCAGTTCTGTTACGCAGCAGAATTACAATACCTGCAGATGCAGTTTGCTGCCAACTAATCAGCTTTTCACAAAACAGCATCTGTCGACTAAAACAACATCACCATAAGCTAGAAAGTGGTCACTGAAACTGGTTTGAGGGTTCTGGATCGCAAAACGTCCGCCAAATGCTACCAGTTTACATCATAAAAAATGCAAAGACTGAGACACCAGTACAACCTGAGCTATCCTAAAATGATTCATCTTATTCACACTGAAGAGCCAGTGCTCTGGGAAATACCACACACTTGAGAAATACCACAAAGGAGATTGAGGATGAGAGCAGACCTTTCCAAGTGCCTGTTTACCAGTGCCCACATACACATGGGTAACATCCTGGAAAAGGGTGGCCTGCATCTTGGTTGTACATTGTGTGCCCAGGCTAGGCAGTGCCCATTTAGAGCTTAGCCAAAGTCAACAATACTTACTGAGACACCTTAAACAACCTTTGAACTTTCCCTGTGAGCCCACCACTATGCCACAAATTTGCCAGTCTTTATGTGTTAACACAGATATGGCACAAGAAAGAAGTGCATTTACGTCACTTTTGACCAGATGTGCTTGGTAGTGTTCTCATAAAATATTGAGCAACCAGGATATGGTTACCATTGCATGAAGGCGGTGTTTGGGCACAGGTCTAAAATACATAAACTAGCATACTAAAATAAAATAGTTGGCTCCTCCCATACAAAGATTTGCTCAACACTAACCCCTGAGCATACATTATAAATGAGTGTTTAGCTTTTGTGAACATCAGAAGACACCTGTCTATAACATACCAAATGTAAAGTAGATTGCTAAAAAAAAAAAAAAAAAAAGAGACAACTGAATATCATTTTGTCAGTAAATCTAGTAAAACACATGCTCTTTTAAAGCAATCAGAATGTAATGACAACATAAGGAAAAATATGCCTAACTATATCCATTCACTTTAAACTAAACTTAAAAATCTAAATATAAAAGCTAATTTAAAGTATTAGTAAATACTATAAATAAACTAAATTTATTTATATAAAGTATACATTCTAAAGAGTAAAATAATATTGCTTCAGATGATGTTTCCTTCATGGCTGTGGCCTCCAATAGATTTTTACTGACTCTTCCTAATTAATATAGTTTCTGGTAAAACTGCAACCAAACGAATCAGAATGTAATGACAACATAAGGAAAAATATGCCTAACTATATCCATTCACTTTAAACTAAACTTAAAAATCTAAATCTAAAAGCTAATTTAAAGTATTAGTAAATACTATAAATATAAATAAACTAAATTTATTTATATAAAGTATACATTCTAAAGAGTAAAATAATATTGCTTCAGATGATGTTTCCTTCATGGCTGTGGCCTCCAATAGATTTTTACTGACTCTTCCTAATTAATATAGTTTCTGGTAAAACTGCAACCAAACACACACAGCACCTCTCCATGCAGTCCATACTCTGAGTGGGCTGAGAAGAAAGTGTGTCATTGGGGGCAGGCGGTGCTGTTTGACCGGACGGTGTAGTGTTTGCCACCTGCCCCAGGGACAGAGTGTTAAATGGTTCAGACAGAACATATTTCCTCTTCTGGTCCTCCTCATCATCCGTAAGGATGGCCACCCGATCACTCGCCATTTCTGTGAGACAGACATTAACATCTGTTAAAGACATAGTGGATAACGGCTTCACGTTGTAGAATTAAATTGCAATTCTTAAATGTTGGGGCACAAACGTTTGTTCAAAATTTGGCTAATTAGCATTAGCAGGGCCATTTAGCTGGTAAATCCCTAACATTACCCTGAAGAACCAAAAATCATTTTATGGATTTTTTCCCCCCTTGTTTGCTGCCTCTCACAACATAGTTCATGGTCATGAAGAGCTCGAGAGATTCTTGCTGTACCATCAGCCAATCAGCATTGTCATGATGGCATTTTCCTAAAGCTCTAAGCGATTAGTTGCATTGCATCTATGGGTCTGGTGATTGGCTGAAAAAACAAAACAAAACAACAACAAAAAAAACCTATGCAAAGTGTCCATTAACAAAGATGGCAAATTTATAGCACATACTTATGGGCTCATGTTCAAAATGCAGTGTTCATTTAGAATAAATGGCAACATTATCTAAAAACAAAAACAAAAATGGAGGAGACAAACTTCCTATATCATTTTGTGATGATGTCAAAGGCCATAAATCACACTACTGTTATGTGTTTTCAAAAGTGGTAATTTTCTCTAGTTACCCATACTAATAATTTGCATATTGTTGTCTATACAGTTCATAGGAAGTTTAATATTAAGTATTGTTTACCTTTGTGCATTAAACCATTTTGATAGCACCTTGATGTCCAATGAAGCAAAACAGTTCATTGAGTGCTACTTTTATTTATTTATTTTCATATTCAAGTTAGACTAATGGATACATATATATATATTTTATTGACCTAATTTATATGACTGCCCTTGATTAACGATAATAAAAATGAGTAAGATTACACATCAAGTGAATATAATGTTGAACATCAGGTAGTAGGAATGCAATTGAGAGGTGGAGATCATAAAATCTAACAAGGTAAAAGAAAATCGTACCTACACTACATTAAATATGGGTTCAATTGCAACGAGGATCATATATATTGAGGCTTGGTCGCTCGTTAACTCCCAAATAACGCCACAACGAAAATGTATCCGAATGATAATTAAAAGTCGAACAAAACTCATTTTGTAAAGGAATTTTACCTTGAACCTACTTTAGATTAATAAAATGACAAAGACAAAAATGGTCTGATATGTTTAAATGTAAATGAGCTAATATGCGTCATTGGCAAAAAATAAAATATATGCCTGTAATACAAACAGGATGAAAGATACAGACTATTAAGTGAAAATATAATATTTCATTGCTTTGTTCTATGTAGGCTAAGGTTTATTTAAACAGTGTACTTGCACTTAGAACATGGAGCGTTGTACAATTGACCTCATTCTGGACTCCGTATAGCTGTTAAACTGCATGTATCCAAGTGGTATTTATAATGCTTATTGAAGAATCTGTAAATGGCTTTTTGTAAGCCAGGGTTTAGAGGTGCATATCATAGTAATCTTTACTCCGCTACACACACTGGCACATATGCTATGGTTACAGTATTGTGTGTGCGTCTGTATGAGACAAGACGGCCTTCTATCATCCTCGCGCCGTGGAGACAGAGGGAGGGACGGAGGGGGACAAAAGGAGTGGATGTGGGATGGTGACAGGGGAAGGCAAAGGGCTGGCAGGCAGACATGACAAATGGAGGTTCCGGTGGTTGACGGACTCCCAGGAGGACAACATTAACGATAATAAAAATGAGTAAGATTACACATCAAGTGAATATAATGTTGAACATCAGGTAGTAGGAATGCAATTGAGAGGTGGAGATCATTGTGCTGTGGAATGAATATTAAATACAGTCCACATTCAAAAACCGTAACATCATATGTATCATATTAAACTTCAGTGGGTGTAGTCCCTGTCTGAAACTGAGTGACACACACCCTACGACCTGTATTACCATTGCATATTGCACAAACACAATGCCTAAATGCATTTACAAACACAACTGATCATCCATTATTTTTCTTACAGTGTTTCAGTATTAAACAGGCAGCGGTGTGGCTCAATACAAAGCTCGCTTACCCGGCTGTTGCGTTATTTCACCGTCTGGCGCTGAACGAGGACGATCCCTTCAACAGACCGCTCTCTCCGTCCAACCATCATTTTGATCACAATCCTGGATTTCTGCTCACTTTCTATGAACAGTCCTCAAACAGCGAGGTGTTCCGGTAGAACAGTGGAGCAGGTTTATTCTACAGCAGTTTTCATCCGACCTGACGTCAATCTCTCACCTGCGTGCGATGTGCTCAGCGTCAGTGTGATTGTGGCACTGCCTTCATTTCCACTGATGTGTGACTGCTCCTGAAATTGTGTTTTAGATTGGAAGTTTTCGCGTATAGTGTTTGCCTAAGAGACGATGTGCAACATCAGTCAGATGTTTGTTATGTTTAGGATTTTTAATTAATTAAAATAGGCTCTATTATAGTTTGATATAGTTTATATTGACTTCAAGATGGGGTAAAATACGTATTTTAATATTTGATTATAATTATACATTTTCTGATTAGAAATTATGGCTAACCCATTTTTGACCGGCGAACTCCTGCAACATGATCCAACTCTAGTGATGAAACAGTGACATCTACTGGCGCTCACTACAGTTTAAAAAAAAAAAAAAAAACCTTATAGTATACATATGAATCTAATCTGTATTTTGTGCCACAAAAATGTGTCAATCAGAGTAACTGATAGCATCAAACTTCGTATACATTTACAATAAATACAACTATAGGACAAGAACACGCAATCATTCCCATAACCAAGTCGAAAACAGCAGCTTTAAATATAAGAAGAGTTAAACAAGCCGTTCTAGGACTCAAATCGGTGTCATTTTTTTTAGCTGTTCATTTTCATGAACCACCTAAAATTGATTCACTGGAATGAATCATATACATCCCAGCGCTACATGACAGAGAGAGCCGAGTAGGAGGAACCGATTCACCAAGATGAATCAGAATTTCCAACGCTACATGTGAGAGCGAAGACCGAGTAAGACGAATCGATTCACCGGAGTGAACATATGAATCGAAGTCAAAGGCCTTGAGTCCTAAACAAACGATTTTGGCGCAAAAATTCACATTTTACTAGTTGAAGCTAACAAAGACTGACGCCAACATGGAAAGCAAATGTGACATTTCTCCATCCTCGAAAACGTTCAACAAAATCTAACAAGGTAAAAGAAAATCGTACCTACACTACATTAAATATGGGTTCAATTGCAACGAGGATAATATATATTGAGGCTTGGTCGCTCGTTAACTCCCAAATAACGCCACAACGAAAATGTATCCGAATGATAATTAAAAGTCGAACAAAACTCATTTTGTAAAGGAATTTTACCTTGAACCTACTTTAGATTAAAAAAATGACAAAGACAAAATGGTCTGATATGTTTAAATGTAAATTAGCTAATATGCGTCATTGGCAAAAAAATAAAATATATGCCTGTAATACAAACAGGATGAAAGATACAGACTATTAAGTGAAAATATAATATTTCATTGCTTTGTTCTATGTAGGCTAAGGTTTATTTAAACAGTGTACTTGCACTTAGAACATGGAGCGTTGTACAATTGACCTCATTCTGGACTCCGTATAGCTGTTAAACTGCATGTATCCAAGTGGTATTTATAATGCTTATTGAAGAATCTGTAAATGGCTTTTTGTAAGCCAGGGTTTAGAGGTGCATATCATAGTAATCTTTACTCCGCTACACACACTGGCACATA